GCGCAATACGGGGCATGAGTAGCTTGGGAGACGCTATACGGAGGTGATGACGTGACATGGGCGCATATACTTCTGCAAGCGGCTTTCGTGAGGCTCGCAGCCCCCCAAGGATTGCGATGTCCCGCTCAGATCTGCCTGGTGCCCCGCTCCGCTGGACCGACCAGCAGGCCTCGAAAGCGGCGACAATGTCGCAGATCGCAGCGCCCCAAGGACGGCGAGGTCCCGCTCAGATCCGCGCGGTGCCTCACTCCGCAGGACCCACCAGCAGGCCTCGAAAGTGGCGACCGTTTCGCATATCGCAGCCCCCCAGGGACGGCGAGGTCCCGCTCAGGCCCGCGCGGTGCCTCACTCCGCAGGACCCACCAGCAGCAATCGAAAATGGCGACGGTTTCGCAGATCGCAGCCCCCCAGGGATGGCGAGGTCCCGCTCAGGTCCGCGCGGTGCCTCGCTCCGCAGGACCCACCAGCAGCCCTCGAAAGTGGCAACAGTTTCGAAGATCGCAGCCCCCCCAGGGACGGCGAGGTACCGCTCAGGTCCGCGCGGTGCCTCGCTCCGCAGGACCCACCAGCAGGCCTCGAAAGTGGCGACAGTTTCGCAGATCGCAGCCCCCCAGGGACGGCGAGGTCCCGCTCAGGTCCGCGCGGTGCCTCACTCCGCAGGACCCACCAGCAGCCCTCGAAAGTGGCGACATGTCGCAGATCTTAGCCCCCCAGGGACGGCGAGGTCCCGCTGGGGGCCGCGCGGTGCCTCACCCCGCAGGACCCACCAGCAGCCCTCGAAAATGGCGACAGTTTCGCAGATCGCAGCCCCCAGGGACGGCGAGGTCCCGCTCAGGTCCGCGCGGTGCCCTCACCCGAGGACCCACCAGCAGCCCTCGAAAGTGGCGACCGTTTCGCAGATCGCAGCCCCCCAAGGACGGCGAGGTCCCGCTCAGGTCCGCGCGGTGCCTCACCCCGCAGGACCCACCAGCAGCCCTCGAAAATGGCGACAGTTTCGCAGATCGCAGCCCCCCAGGGACGGCGAGGTCCCGCTCAGGTCCGCGCGGTGCCTCGCTCCGCAGGACCCACCAGCAGCCCTCGAAAGTGGCGACAATTTCGCAGATCGCAGCCCCCCAGGGACGGCGAGGTCCCGCTCAGGTCCGCGCGGTGCCTCACCCGCAGGACCCCCCAGCAGGCCTCGAAAGTGGCGACAGTTTCACAGATCGCAGCCCCCCAGGGATGGCGAGGTCTAATTTGAATCCGCCCGTGGCGTCACTGTGCTGGGCCCCCCAGCAGGCCTCGAAAGTGGCGACAGTTTCGCAGATCGCAGCCCCCCAGGGATGGCGAGGTCTAATTTGAATCTGCCCGTGGCCCTCACTGTGCTGGGCCCCCCAGCAGGCCTCGAAAATGGCGACAGTTTCACAGATCGCAGCCCCCCAGGGATGGCGAGGTCTAATTTGAATCTGCCCGTGGCCCTCACTGTGCTGGGCCCCCCAGCAGGCCTCGAAAATGGCGACAGTTTCACAGATCGCAGCCCCCCAGGGATGGCGAGGTCTAATTTGAATCTGCCGTGGCGTCACTGTGCTGGGCCCCCCAGCAGGCCTCGAAAGTGGCGACAGTTTCGCAGATCGCAGCCCCCCAGGGATGGCGAGGTCTAATTTGAATCCGCCGTGGCGTCACTGTGCTGGGCCCCCCAGCAGGCCTCGAAAGTGGCGACAGTTTCACAGATCGCAGCCCCCCAGGGATGGCGAGGTCTAATTTGAATCTGCCCGTGGCGTCACTGTGCTGGGCCCCCCAGCAGGCCTCGAAAGTGGCGACAGTTTCACAGATCGCAGCCCCCCAGGGATGGCGAGGTCTAATTTGAATCCTGCCCGTGGCGTCACTGTGCTGGGCCCCCCAGCAGGCCTCGAAAGTGGCGACAGTTTCACAGATCGCAGCCCCCCAGGGATGGCGAGGTCTAATTTGAATCTGCCCGTGGCGTCACTGTGCTGGGCCCCCCAGCAGGCCTCGAAAGTGGCGACAGTTTCACAGATCGCAGCACCCCAGGGATGGCGAGGTCAAATTTGAATCTGCCCGTGGCGTCACTGTGCTGGGCCCCCCAGCAGGCCTCGAAAGTGGCAACAGATTCACAGAACGCAGCCCCCCCAGGGATGGCGAGGTCTAATTTGAATCTGCCCGTGGCGTCACGGTGTTGGGCCCCCCAGCAGGCCTCGAAAGTGGCGACAGTTTCGCAGATCGCAGCCCCCCAGGGATGGCGAGGTCTAATTTGAACCTGCCCGTGGCGTCACTGTGCTGGGCCCCCCAGCAGGCCTTGAAAGTGGCGACTGTTTCACAGATCGCAGCCCCCCGCAGGCAAGACAGGAGGAGGCAAGAGGGACACGGGACGAGAAGAAGGGAGTGGAGACCACACTGCTCTATTCAAAACGACTACCCAGCCAAGGAGGGTTGGGAAAAACAAATAGGAATTCGCCGGCCCAACGGGCCAGGGCGTGCTAAGATCTCCGGTACCTGGTTAACAGTA